TCTATACACCAACAGCAAGACAGAAGAAAGAGAAATTAAGGAGTCAATCCCATTGACAATTGCACCCAAAACCAGAAGATACCTAGGAATAAATCTAACCAAAGAGACAAAGAATCTGTACTCACAGATAACTTTAGAGTACTGTGAAAACTATAGAATACTCATGAAATAAATTGAGGAAGACACAAAGAAATGGAAAAATGTTCCATGCTCATGGATTGAAAGAATAAATATTGTTAAAATGTCTATGCTACCTAAAGCAATCAACACATTTAATGCAATCCTAATCAAAATAACATCAATTCTTTTCACAGAAATGGAACAAATAATCCTAAATTTTGTATGGAACCAGAAAAGACCCTGAATAGCCAGAGGAGTGTTGAAAAAGAAAGGCAAAGCTGGGTACATCACAATTCCAGACTTCAAGCTCTATTACAAAGTGGTAATCATCAAGACAGTATGGTACTGGCACAAAAAGAGACACATAGATCCATGGAACAGAATAGAGAGCCCAGAAATAGACCCTCAACTCTATGGTCAACTAATCTTCAACAAAGCAGGAAAGAATGACCAATAGAAAAAAGACAGTCTCTTCAACAAATGGTGTTGGGAAAATTAAACAGCCACATGCAGAAGAATGAAACTGGACCATTGCCCTACACCACACACAAAAATAGACTCAAAATGGATGAAAGACCTAAATGTGAAACAGAAATCCATCAAAATCCTTGAGGAGAACACAGGCAGCAACCTCTTCCACCTCAGCTACAACAACTTCTTCCTAGAAACATCTCCAAAGGCAAGGGAAGGAAGGGACTTTATCAAGATGAAAAGCTTTTGCACAGCAAAGGGAATAGTCAACAAAACTAAAAGACAACTGACAGAATGGGAGAAGATATTCGCAAATGGCATATCAGATAAAGGGCTAGTATCCAAAATCTATACAGAACTTATCAAACTCAACACCCAAAGAACAAATAATCCAATTAAGAAATGGACAGAAGACATGAACAGACCAAAGAAGACATCCAAATGGCCAACAGACACATGAAAAAGTGCTCAACATCACTCGACATCAGGGAAATGCAAATCAAAACCTCAATAATATACTACCTCACACCAGTCAGAATGGCTAAAATTAACAAGTCAGGAAACGACAGATGCTGGTGAGGATGCGGAGAAAGGGGAACCCTCCTACACTGTTGGTGGGAATGCATGCTGGTGCAACCACTCTGGAAAACAGTATGGAGGTTCCTCAAAAACTTGAAAATAGGGGCAACTGAGTGGTTCAGTGGGTTAAAGCCTCTGACTTCGGCTCAGGTCATGATCCCAGGGTGCTGGGATCGAGCCCTGAAATAGGCCCTCTGCTCAGCGGGGAGCCTGCTTCCCACCCCCACCCCCCACCTGCCTTTCTGCCTACTTGTGATCTCTGTCTGTCAAATAAATAAATAAAATCTTTAAAAAAAACGAAGTTGAAAATAGAGCTACCCTACGACCCAGCAATTGTACTACTTGGTATTTACCCTAAAGATACAAATGTAGTGATCCGAAGGGGCACATACACCCCAATGTTTATAACAGCAATGCCCACAATAGCCAAACTATGGAAAGAGCCTAGATGTCCATCAACAGATGAATGGATAAAGAGGATGTGATACACACACACACACACAGGAATACTATGGAGCCATCAAAAATTGAAATCTTGCCATTTGCAATAATGTGGATGGAACTAGAGAGTATTATGCTAAGTGAAATCAGTCAATTAGAGAAATACAATTATCATATGATCTCACTGATAGGAGTGAATAGGAAGAACTTGAGAAACAAGACAGCAGATCATAGGGGAAGGGAGGGAAAAATGAAACAAGATGAAAACAGAGAGGGAGACAAACCATTAAGAGACTCAATCTCAGGAAACAAACTGAGGGTTGTTAGAGGGGACGGGGTGGGAGGGATGGGGGTGCTGGGTGATGGATACTGGGGAGGGTATGTGCTATGGCGAGTGCTGTGAATTGTGTAAGATTGATGAATCACAGACCTGTACCCCTCAAAAAGATAATACGTTATGTCAATATGAATGAATAAATAAATACCTCTCATCCTATCAGAAATCTTCCTGGTATGAATCAAAGAAGTCACATTCTGGGTGGAAAATTACTTCTGGAGGGCACCTGGGTGACTCCATTGGTTAAGGGTCTGCCTTCGGCTCAGGTCATGATCTCAGGGTCCTGGGATCGAGTCACGCGTTGGGCACCCTGCTCATTTGGACATCTGCTTCTCCTTCTCACTGTCCCTCAGTGCTTGCCGGTGCACTCTCTCTCTCTCCCTCTCGCTCTCTCTCAAATAAATAAATAAAATCTTAAAAAAAAAAATTATTTCTGAGTCTTCATACTTGTCAAGTTTGACAATTAAACAACATATACTTGTGCGGGGGCACCTGGATGGTACAGTTGGTTAAGCCTCCAACTCTTGGTTTTGGCTCAGGTTATGATCTCGGTGTTGTGAGATCGAGCTCCACACTGGGTTCTCCTCAGCAGGGAGTCTGCTTGATATTCTCTCTCCCTCTCCCTCTCCCTCTGCCCCTCCGACTTGTGCTCTCTCTCTCTCTCTCTCTCTAAAAATTAATACATAAATCATATATATGTGCAAATAAATTCAAAAATTACAACTCCAGAAATTTAGATAGTTTCAAATGATATTAACCTCTTGCCATTAAATTCTCTACAGAAGTGACCATTGTAACAAGTAGTAACATCTTGGCCCCTATGGCATGAGATGAGCTTTCTCTAGTTCACAGAAGCCCCTTGAGAGGGTGATTCAGCGTGGAAAAGTACAGTTTCCTGGTAGACTGACACCAGACTCCAGGTTTTATGCTTTTATCTTACTCTCAATATCGAACACGCTCAGCATATTCACTGAAAGCATTGTCTCCCCCAGGGAAAACAAATCAACCCAATACATCTATTTTGAAAACAATTTCTTGTTCAAGGAAAAGATGGGAAGTTTAAAACTTGACAGTAAGGTTTAAAAATGAACTATGTAATCACACAGTGCCACCTGGATCCCCCAGCTTTTCACTAGTTTTTTTCTCAAAGGAGAAGGTAGTACCAAGGAAGCTACCAGGATGGAAAGTGAGCCCCATCCCAGAGAGAGAAAACTGAATGGTATCCATTTTTTTGCCACCATGTTTTAGAGATCCTCATGGACATGAACCTTAAAGACTAAAGCTCACCAAGTTCATGTTCTATTTCCACCAAAGCCTGGGATAGAAGATACCCCCTGAACTAAAAACAACAACAACAACAACAACGACGACAACAACAACAAAACCAAACCAGATTAACAAGAGAAAAAGAACAGTTTAATAACCCATATACCTCCTGTACACAAGTGGTAACTTCTCCTCAGTTTTCAGAGCTTTTCCTATGTCTGTTATTTCTTTTCTTTTTTTTTTTTTATTTGACAGAGAGATCACAAGTAGGCAGAGAGGCAGGAAGAGAGAGAGAGAGAGGAGGAAGCAGGCTCCCCGCTGAGCAGAGAGCCCGATGTGGGGCTCGATCCCAGGATCCCGGGATCATGACCTGAGCCGAAGGCAGAGGCTTTAACCCACTGAGCCACCCAGGCGCCCCGTCTGTTATTTCTTTAAAATCAGCCTAAAATGGGGCACCTCAGACTTGTGATCTCTGTCAAATAAATAAATAAAATTAAAAAAAAAAAAGTTGAAAATAGAGCTAGTCTATGACCCAGCAATCACACTACTGGGTATTTACCCCAAAGATACAAATTTAGTGATCTGAAGGGGCAGGTGCACATCAATGTTTACAGCAACAATGTCCACAATAGCCAAACCATGGAAAGAGCCAAGATATCCAGATATCCAACAACAGATGAATGGATAAAGAAGATGTGGTACATATATATATATAATGGAATACTATACAGCCATCAAAAGAAATGAAATCTTGTCATTTGCCATGATGTGGATGGAACTAGAGGGTATTATGCTGAGCAAAATAAGTCAACCAGAGAAAGACAATTATCATATGATCTCGCTGATATGAGGAATTTGAGAAACAAGGCAGAGGATCATGGGGGAAGGGAGGGAAAAATGAAACAAGATGAAAACAGAGAGGGAGACAAACCATAAGAGACTCTTAATCTTGAGAAACAAACTGAGGGCTGCTGGAGGGGAGGAGGTGGGAGGGATGGGGGTGCTGGGGGATGGACATTGGGCAGGGTATGTGCTATGGTGAGTGCTGTGAATTGTGTAAGACTGATGATTCACAGACATGTACCCCTGAAACAAATACATTACATGATAATTAAAAATAAAGAAAATACAGAAATAAATAAATAAATAGAATTTTTCAAATGGTTAATTCTAGGGACGGCTGGGTGGCTCAGTTGGTTAAATGTCTACTACATTCGGCTCAGGTCATGATCCCAGGGTCCTGGGATTGAGTCCCTCATCAGTTCCCTGCTCAGTGGGGAGCCTGTTTCTCCCTCTCACTCTGCTCCTCCCCTGCCAAGCTACCTGTGTCTCTCTGAAATAAATAAATATATAAAATTTTTAAAGAAATAATAAAGTAGATAATTCTAAAAAATAAAATAAAATAAAATAAGAAATGGTTAATTCTATGTTATGTGAATTCTGCTTCAATGAATATAACATAGGTAACATATATTTTTATGCCCCGTTACGTTCTGCCTGCCTGTGACGAAAGTTTTCCTTTCCCCACCCCCGCATCTTAGACTTGTTTAATTTTACTTTTAACTAAAAATAAACATGGTGACAAACTGAAAGAAGCTTGGGCAGCACACGAATCAGTGTTTGAGCTTCAGGTCACAGAACGACTCCTGTTTGACTCAAAAATCACTGTCACGTGTGCCCTGCCAGCCCTCTCGTACAGCACAGTGAAGGCTCAGTTACCCTGATCCTCGCTCACGGCCGGGACATCACCATATGCCAGACAAGACACAAACACGCTTTCTCCCCCTTGAGGTTGCTAGAAAAAGTTTAATCAGCTACAGAAATTTGTGAGAACCAAAGGCCACCTCTGGACTGAAAAGGAAAGTAGCCCCTTGGTTCTGGTTTATCTGTAATTAGATCCCCTTCGAGGCTTTACATGTATGTTTGGTAGAAAACAGAGTGATTCTTTAAGAGTGTGGTGATTTCCTCAGACAGTTCCTTCATCCTGGTTTCAGTGACTTCAGAGCCTTTAAAAAGAAGAAGAAGAAGAATACAAGTATTAACAACATCAGAAACTGAATAATGTAAGTCTTTCAAGTACCTCAAGCTAGTCTTTGCGCCATTTTGGTTTGCTCCTAAAGGTCTCCATGTTTGAGGCAAATCAAAATCGAGGGAGATATGCTTTCCCTGGGGACCATGAAGATCCTGCCGCTAGGTGATATGAAGAGAGCTCATACTGGAGCCATTAACTCTTTACACATTTTCCAGAAGCTGCTATCCCGTGAATAGAGAGCTGCTCATCTACTCGGAGGCCTGCCATAACACTAGAGTTGTCCCAGGCAGTATCAGGCTCTGAGCTTGAATTTAATAAACTTATCCAGGCTGCTATCCTCCCTCAGAAAGCCTGAAAGAACCATGAGGGAAATGAGCTGGCCTCAGAAGCCCAGCCGGTCTCTGGCATCTCCCTACAAAGAAATAAAATACCATTTTATTTCATACAAATCCAAAGAAATCTGCTTTTCCAGGAATTACCTAAACCAGGGCTCAGCAAACTGCTTTTGTAAATGAAGTTTTATTGGGACACAGCCATGTCCATTCATTTACGTACTGTCTACGCCAGCTTTCCCCCTATAATGGCAAAGGACAATAATTGCAACAGAGACTGAACGGCCCACGAATCCTAAAATATTTATGATCTGGCCCTTTACAGAACAAGTTTGCTGATCTATGACAACTCTAACCACTCTAGCCTCCGGATACACATTTAGAGGTGAGCTTACATATTTATTCCTGACCTCAGGTGCATTCCATTTTCCCCATGCTAACTGCGAGCTTTCTCGGATGCATTCCGGTTTCCCAAAAGGACGGTGCCTGGGGATCACCTATTTGCTACATGTGCCGGGCAAATAGGAGCATCCCTCGAGAGCGAAATCCTGCAGGGCAAGTCCTATAACTCTCCCTTCTCCCCCAGGACAACAGCTTGTCTGGAAGACAAACAGAGAATACTAGAGACTTCCATCTTACCTTCACAGGCAGTCCTGATTATTCCAAGTCCTGTGTTATTTTCAGCTTATTTCCAACTCGGCTATTCTTGGCTCTGAAAAGCTATCATCACTGGCATCGCTGTATCTATCACTAGATCAAAAGAGGAACTAATTTAGCAAGGTGTAAAAAACCCTGGACAATTATTCTATTTACAATTCCAAACACGTTCTGTAATTAATCTCCACTCAGAGAAAATGCTAAGGGATATAGTACTACCACTTTCTAGAAGGAGGTTAGTCCCACCACACACGGTGATCTTTTGTCAGAGGAGCTGATCACCTGCTTTCCTCTTAAGCTGGAAGTAACTTGTTCAGAAAATTGATAAAAGCATTTTAATTTAGATTAAAATTTATAATCTTCTAAAGACCACTAATGTAGACCAGCAGCATGAAAGTTTGCCATTCTAACAGACACTCTCATACACCCAAGGGTTTGAGAAATTATTTGCACAATTATGCTATTTTCACATCAGAAGCTTTATGGGATGCCCCCACTACCTCGAGACCCATGCAGTATTCGGAATAGGACCGATGGCTGACATGGCTGCTGCCATGTTGGGATCCCTCAGAAGTACATTTTCTCCATGACAGAGCCCTGCAGCTGTAGTTTTAACCTGAGCTATGGGCTCAGATCAGGGGTTCTTCTTGCTTGGTTCCAAATAAATCAGCAAGTAGATCAACTCCACAGGAGTTCTACTGACCTATGGAGATGACATTGCCAGGAAGTGAGTGTTTTATGCCTGACCCATTCCTAGCCTTGACCAACTTTTTGCTGATGGATAGCAGTAGAACTCTGAATTCCATAACACGTGAAAATCCACTCTTTTTTTTTTTTTTAAAGGAGGAAAGGGAACAACTGAAGAAACCCTCTGCTGACATGTTAGGAAGCGAATATTTACTCTAAACATATTGAGCAAGTATCAATAAATACGTCAACAAGAATATAAAAGACAACCTCACTCTCCTCCTTGACTTTTGGACAAAATACTGGAAAGGCTGTGGGGGCGGGGTTCGAGAATGAAGAGTAGATAGAAGAGGATTAAGAATTGGCAGAAAAGACAAGATATGTTAAACACGAATCAACAGCTCCTCAAAACAAATCAAGTAGAAGATATCCCCTACTTAATTTTTAGAGCAG